GATGTTGCGTCTAAGTTCACGACTAAAACACGACATTTCGTGAAAAAATGTAAAATGTGGAAGTTGATAATAATTTTGGCCTGGTTCGATTCGGCACGAAAAATAAACGATGTGTAAAGGTTTCCGAACTACCAAAAGGAAAATTTAGATACTTCTGATAAATATTATTTCAACGTGTTGATCCTAGGCTGGACTTGAAATGTTTCCTATATCACCAAACTAACCAAACATTTCAGTGTTTTTTTACTAGTGGTGTAATGAGGATATGCCGATACCAGATCCACGATTGTTCTCTACATCTAAAATCTGCCCTTGACTATCTATAGAATATAAATACTGATTTATTTCTGAATCTGTTTTTAGGTTAGTTAGTCGTCGTTTGGCCGGGAAGAGGAGGAACGTTAAAAACGACAGTCACTTACATTCTAAAAAAAATAATCGCGTTCTATTGGCATTCTGACGAAAACCTGGCGTTCGTAGGTAAAATCAAAACTTTAAATTAAAACGAAAACTTCAAAACACTTAGAAGCACCGACGCAGCTGCATACGTAACCACAAAGTTGATGACCGGCGCCGGTGCCCGTGTTTACAATGACGTTTTGGTCGCTAGTGTCGCGAGCTCCCGAGAGATGGCGCACTGCAATCACGTCTAAACGACACTATCTAAAGAACACGCCAAGGTAGACGATGGTGTGGAAATCCAACATGTCCATGGTTACGTCGTTGGCCATGGTCAGACGAGTACAGAGTATCATGGCTGCGGAGATGGGCATGGGTGATCACCATGGTCTAGACTGGGTCCATGAATAAAATTCTGATTTTCCATGGTCAAAATCTCAATTTGACCATGACAGTCATGGTTTTCTTACCCTGGGGAGGGTTTTGAATAGAATATTTTTAGCTGATTTTGGGTTTTGCCATACCCAGGGTTATACGATATTTGTTTGTCCTACTGTTTGTTACATTGTAAGTTGAATCTGCTAACAGCATTCATTTGTAGAAGTCAAAAGTCATCACACTCCCACTTCCAATTACTGAGAACTAAAAATGACATCGGAAAATCTAAAACCAAACTTGTTTTGGTCATTTTTAAAATTTCCAGTGCCCCCCCCCCCCTCTTTCCTGTTCTTCCCTGGCCTCCCATCTGTACATTACTATTACTATATTCCTTTAACCGTCACATTTGAGAA